GAGTTGAAGTCCACATATCTTAAAGTCACCAAGGTTGAGAAACACTGCAACCGAGAGATGGATCCTAATTGTGTCTGGAATCTGGACTGCTTCACTTTAGGACATGAAGGGTTGCACCAGACCAAAGATACCGATTGAGATGACCCCACCTGAGAACTCAGAGAGAGAAGAGAGACCTTTTCAGGGTGACCTTTTTTCACAAGCCGCCTGCTCTGCTCAGAAGCTTTCTGGGCAGAGGTGCTGGGCCTCTATCTTCAGAAAAGAAGAAAAGGTCTTCCTCTTCATCCAGACCTTTTGTGCTTGATCTGAGGTTGACAGGAATAAAACCCCCAAAATGTCTATCATGATATCCTTAAAGCAGGTTTGCCAAAACCTTGGCTCGATGGTACGGAACCACCACCCTCAGTGGGTGCGCATTAGGGGTTCTGCAGGGTCCTGGAGGGAAATATTGAATGGGATTTCCAGGGCTCCATCTTCAGCCTGATCTTTATAAATGACCTACAGTACGGTATAGTTATTAAATTTGCAGGTGATCCCAAGCCAAATGATAGGTAGTGCCTTAGAGGTCAAAATCACTGCTCAGAATGACCTTGACTGTGTGTGTGTGTGTGTGTGTGTGCGCACACCTTTGAGCCAGGGCAACTGCCTGGACTAGTCCCTGAAGTTTTCTTCGCAAGATTTCAGGAGTGGTTGGCCATTGCCTCCTTCCCAGGGCTGAGAGAGAGGGACTGGCCCAAGGTCACCTAGCTGGCTTCATGCCCAAGGTAGGACTAGAACTTATGGTCTTCCAGTTTCTAGCCTGATCCCTGGCTCTCTTGACAATATTTAGTATTGTAAAAACATTTTTTATTTGGTATGTGCAGACACTCATTGTAAACACAGTAGAAGTCATATTTTTCCCCCACAGCAACAACTCTGTGAGATGAGAGAGAGAGATTGGCCCTGTGAACCTCAAGGACCTTCCATGGCCAATGGGGATCTAGAACCTGGGTCTCATCACTCCTAGCCCTGTATTTAATTGCTACATCATACTGGCTCTTAAGCTGTGAGAGAAGGACTGCTCCAAAGTGCCTAGGTCTCCCTAGTGCCAGTCCATTTAGATTAGATTAGATTTTAGATGTTTTTTTTAATCCCTACATGAGACGATCCATCCATTCAAGACACTTGAACATCTGAATATTCTTTCTTGCTAGGTGACAACATGACAGCGGAAGATCTGGCGGAAAATCCACCGCCGAGTGGCCTTGAGATAAGAGATGCCAGTCACGTGTTTCCATGCAGCTCTGACGGAGAAGCTTCCCTACGGCCCGTGGTAGTTTCTAAAAGCAGGAACGCTTGAGGAAAGAACGGAATGAATCTGGTTAGTAGGCTCGGTGCCCTTCACTTAAAAACCCAAACCATGCTATTCTTTATGGCTTCTTTCCCTGAGATGGGGGTCTTCCAACTGGATGGAATTTAGCTCTCAGAATTCTTGTGAACGGCCCAGCTGGCTGGGGAATTCTGGGAGCTGGATGGATACCCAGGTTGAGGAGGTCAGTTTATGGCTGCAGAGGCAGTCCCAAGGGATTCTGGGGAAGGAAGTTGGGTTCTACAAGCTGGAAAGGGGGAAAGGCATGGCTGTGGGTTCTAATAAGCTGCTTTGTCTTCTGTGCCGCAAGGTCCTGTATTTGCGAGGTGTATTTAAAAGCTGTATTTGGGCCAGATCCTTTCCAACTGCCGGCAGGAACTCATCTGATCGTCTGCTCCTTCATGCAAATAAAGATGGAAACACCTAGAAGGCTACACATTAGTCCGGGGCAAGGTCCAAGAACAGCCACAACAACCCAATCGAAGCCCTGCCCCTTTTCTATGCCCATAGAAAGGAATGGGGCTTCAATGACAGTCACTGCTGCCATCTTGACTTTTTTGACCTTCCCCTGTGGGCATCTTTGAGGCTAGTGAAAAAAATTGACATGGTGATGGAGGCAGATGATGGATGGATGGATGGATGGATGGATGGATGGATGGATGGATGGATGATAGAGATGAATTCTGTGACGTGTGAAGAACAAATTATATTTTTTTGCAATCATGAGAGAGGACAAAAAAGTCTCTGATTCTCTACCCCTTGCATTATGTTTATAAACCAGTGTTTCTCAACCTTGGGAACTTGAAGATGTGTGGACTTGAAGGCTGGCTGGGGAATTCTGGGAGTCAAAGTCCACACATCTTCAAGTTCCCAAGGTTGAGAAACACTGTTATAAACCATTACAGAATCATCGAATGTATGATTCGAAAGGAGCACTGAGATCATCTAGCCAACCTCTCTTCTCAGTGAAGGACTCTACCACACCATCCCTTACAGGTGGTGATGTTTGAAAACCACTGTGGATTGGGGTCATCCGCCACTGTTTTAAGCAGATTCTTCCACCACTTAACAGAAAACGCCTCCTGCTATTCAGCCTGAATCTCCTTTTTCAAAACAATTCAACCTGTTGGTTTACATCTTGCTCTCGACTGCAAACAAGAATAGGTGTTCCCCTGTAGTACAGTGGTACCTCTACTTACGAACGCCCCTACTTACGAATTTTTCAAGATACGACCAGCTCCGGCCCCAAAAAATTTACCTCTACTTACGAACGCCCCTACTTACGAATTTTTCAAGATACGACCAGCTCCGGCCCCAAAAAATTTACCTCTACTTACGAACGCCCCTACTTACGAATTTTTCAAGATACGACCAGCTCCGGCCCCAAAAAATTTACCTCTACTTACGAACGCCCCTACTTACGAATTTTTCAAGATACGACCAGCTCCGGCCCCAAAAAATTTACCTCTACTTACGAACTCGCCTCGACTTACGAACCGGATCCGCGGCCATTTTCTGCCCGTTCCACGTGGTCCGTGGCTATTTTCCGCCCGTTCCATGTGGTCCGCGGCCATTTTTCCGCCCATGCCACGTGGTCCGCGGCCATTTTTCCGCCCGTTCCACGTGGTCCGCGGCCATTTTCCGCCCGTTCCACGTGGTCCGCAGCCATTTTTCTGCCCGACACGTGGTCCGCGGCCATTTTTACGCCCTGCCGCGTGGTCGGCGGCCGTTTTTCCGCCCGTTCCACGTGGTCCGCGGCCATTTTCCGCCCGTTCCACGTGGTCCGCAGCCATTTTTCTGCCCGACACGTGGTCCGCGGCCAGTTTTACCGCCCTGCCGCGTGGTCGGCGGCCGTTTTTCCGCCCCTGGTGCCTGGTCCGTGGGCGCCCGAGCGGATTGACGGGAAGTACAATGTACCTTATGGGGAAAATTACTTCGACTTGGGAA